CAGTATAGTTTTCAAAATTGTTTATAGCATAGTTTATTAATTCAAATAGTATTTTAATAATAGTTTGTAAGAAATATTAAGATATTGTATAATTTGAATTAATAATTTAGATATATAGTTTAATAATATATAGTAGAATAACTTATAGGTATAAATCTTTTAAATAAGTTTTTTTTGTTGAATTTTAGAAAGGTTTTATTGATATAAATATAAAATAATTTAAAAGAATTTTATATTATTTTATTATATATATTAGATATCAGATTAGACATTAAATCAAACATGCAGTTTATTTAATCTGTATACTTAATTTGTATATCAATATCTATACTATATTATAAAAAAATTTATGTATAACATTTAACTGCAAGGTAATGCTTAGATTACTCTATATAAATAAATACAATTGTGTAACTAAAATATTTATAATTTGTTAATACTTAAATTAAATAAAAATTTTACTAGAATTATATCTAATTTAATAAAGTTTAATTAAATACTAATTGTATAGGTTTTTATAATTGTATTTAATACTATTTTTTTCTCCATTGTGTAGCAACGGGTTCACAGCTAGTACTATTATAAATAGATTTAATGTAGCAATTAATAAGTTAATTGAATTAATTAGAGAATATAAATACTTATAAATTAATCCAAAATATAGTCACAAATAAGTATATGTTAGTATTTGATAAATTTAGTTATAAAAGAGATTATTAATACAAAACATGTTTAAATATAACATATCTTACACTTAATGCAATTCTCAAAAGACAATACAAGAATGAACAAGTGAAAATAAGAATATCAATAAGTACATTAAGAAATTTTAACTTAAAGTTATATCTTATTATAGTGTAATTGAATAGATTCCTTTTAATAGTTTAACTAATATTCAAAATATTGGCAATAAAGTTTTAACAACCTCATTAGATAGAGTTCAAAATTATAAATATAAAATTGAAAATAATGAATATAAATATACACAGTCACATATACCATCATGTAAAGTGAAGGTTAAAATATTAAATAAAACACAAGCTTATCAAATAGGTCAAAAGAAGTAAGCTAAAATATTAATAATTTATTATTTTTAGACTATACATATAACTTTAATATATAGAGATCTTAAAATATATAACCTAATTTAAAACAATGCAAACAAGGAGTATATGTTAGTATTTGATGAATTTTATAATTAAAGAGATATAAATAATAAGACATGTGCAAATTGCAAGTAATATAACACATCCTATGCTTGGTGCCAAACATGTGATTCTCAAAAGTCAATACAAGAATTGACAAGTAGAAATAGAGATATCGATGAGTGTATTAAGAAATTTCAACTTAAAGCCATAAAACAAAACATGAATATGTAATCAAATAGATTCCTTTTAATAATTTAGTTAACATTCAATTAATTGGTAAAGAAGGATTTGGCATTGTATTTTCTGCAATGTGGTTAGATGGTAAAAGAACACTTTTATATACTTCTAGTAAGCTTACATAATATGCACAACATCAGTCACAAATAAATTTTTTAAGAGAAGTATATTAAAAATAGTTATTTATGATAAATTATAAATTATTAACATTATAAATTTTTGTCTTAAATTAGCAAGTTTAAAAGTTACGCTGAATTTAGATTAGTAGGATGACAGTATAATAAAAACATTTATAGAACCCACATCAGAAATAGTAAACTATTTCTATAAAGAACATAAAATTTTTTATTATAAGAACTGTCAGTTCATTATATGAAAGTTAACTGTACACATATGCTATTATTCATATGCTGATAAAAAATAAAGGTGCTCATATTTAGAAATACAAGAAAACAACATATTCACGCTATAGTGAAATTCCCACTACACATAGGCTTGGAATGCTAGACTCGAAAATACTATATACAGTAATTAATTATATTATATCAAGAGTTCATTCTGACAAAGGTGAACTGTATTTGATCTTTTCATTATTTAACTCACAAGTACACTTTTAGAACTCTACAACCTTTTATGACTTCATTTTAATTGTTAATTTGGTTCATGATCGAAAGTTTACTATAATGGGTTTATGAACTTTGAAATTTTAAATTTAAATAATTGAGGTTGTAACATGTAGATTTTGTATACTTAATAATTCAATATCATTAATTCACGTTTACCGTTCACTTTAAAACTGATCAAAATTATTATTTATGATTGTGAGGGCAATTAATTGCAACTATTCAAAACCCAATTAATCGATTAGTGGTGAAGTCATAGAAAGCAATTTCTGAAGTTGTTTGAAAAATGTAACGACTTAGTAAAATATATAATAATAAACATAAGTATGAGTATATTTGAAGATATTTGACGTCAAAACTTGTAGTTTTTGAATTAAATTGTACAAATCACAAGAACATTAATTTACATTTCTTTACAAAGACATGTATATAGTACAGCATTCTAAATTTTTTTTTAAATCGATTTCAATGAATGCCAAAGTTCTAAACAAATGTTACATAAATGCTTTTTCAAACCTTCAATTGACGACAGACATTAGTGTAATCTATGTTTTTCAATCATAATTGGTAGCATTCTTCCAGATCATAGCCGATATCAAAAAGATGCTTTTTTTAGACCTTCAAATGATGGCGAGCATTAATTTTATATACTCAAATGCGATTTTTACAGTATACTTCACTACTTTACTAAACCATACATCGCTACTATTCGGAATACCGATCACGAAGCTGTGTAATATTTTAAACCGATTATAAATCGTTACGTATATCCCTTAATTCAACGATCACCCGATTAGTGATCCAAATCGTTAGTTGAAAAAACAACTAGTTGGCAACTTTCCAACTAATCGATTTGGAAAATTTTGAAACAACTAGTTGATTAAATCATCAACTAGTTAAATTCTGAGATATTCCATCTATTCGGGCTGGTTCGTGGCCAATCAACAAACTTAGTCACATGATAGGAAAACTTGATTAGTTGCTCGATTGTAAAAATTTTTACCAACTTGGAACACTACACCCGATCCAAAAAACCAAATTTCTATCGTCTTTGATGATCAGCAATTATCATTCCATCAACCCAATAAAAAATCCTACGAAAAACAAAAAATGCAAATTATCAGGTAAATACGCAAATTAATTTGCACCAGGCTACCAATTTTTGCGTCTGAAATTCCTTTTTTACTATCGTTAGTTATCCCAATTTTTTGTATTCAAGTTATACGTACTCTGTTAATTACATGTGTGAAAAATAACCAAAATTTGATGAATAAGTCATGCGGACCAATCAAACTTAAGATTTTGTGGACGTAAACCACTTATTGCACCTTATAAGCCATACACTTCGTGATTTCATCACTCCGTTCCTGGTATACATATTATTATTTCATATTTATTAATTTTAAATAAAAGATACCAAATTTTAGATTTTTAGAGAACCTGAGAATTAAAAAACTTAGGATCTAGCCCGGAGCATCGCCCGGGCCTAAGAGCTAGTCAGCTTAGTTAAATGACTATTAAACTTGGTCGACTTAAGACAATTTAGCAGGTTAAGGCTAAGGTTTATTAATTTAGAAATTTATAATCTAATTTGTAAACATGACCTTTAGGCTCTAACATGTTATTGTTTATGTAAATCCTGTTTATCGTTATTTACTTACTGTAAAACACAAACGTATGAAATAATTCATTCTTGTATTGTATAGTACGTATCCAAGCCTTGACGATAAATCGCTTATGTTTATGTCATAGCAGAAATATTCGACTTTCAACATTGAAATAGAACTCTATTAAACGGCCTCCAATGATGGAAATTCTTTCCCGATTAAGGCATTTGAATTGGTACTGGAGTGAAATTATTGATCACAATATCGGAGAGGTTGATTATAATAAAAAATCAAAGATAGGAGAAAGCGGATTTGGAAAGATTTATTCAACGTTTTGTAGCTCTAAAAACAAAAAAGTTGCATCATACCAATAAATGGTAATATATTAACATCACCTAAAGACTTATCTTTCTTTACGTATTGTTTTGTCTTTTTTAGAGGATTTCAAACCAACAATGACTTTAGTTTTTGTTTCAATAAAGGCTTTAACTCCATCTTCGTCACTAATCTATTCGTTGTTTCTTATTTTCCTGTACATTACTGTGTAATGATTGGCAATAAAAATACTTGCTTACGATACAATGAGTATTTATAATTTTCTAACCAATAAACGATTTTTTATTTTTTTTTATTTTTTTATGATGCAATTTTAATTTGCCTGAAAAATATATTGATTTTTCCTGATTTTATCTGAAATTTTGCTTGAAATTAAATTTAATTTTGCCTGGAGGTATACAATAATTTTGCCCGGAATTATACTTTTTGAATGATAACTATCGCTATTAGGTAACACGTGAGATTTTATTGTTGTCATAATCCAATAAAACGTTCCGCATTAACATAATTTTAGTTAGATGAGTGCTTACTGTTCTAAAATGTCTTAAATATAAAGTTAGTAAAACACAAACAAAGTAAATACCAAAATTAAAGTTTCGAAATAATCCAATTAAATATGAACATTAACATTACGTATAAAGTTTACTAATCTGATAGCAATTCAATGCAGAGAATTAAGTAGCAGGAGAATAAAGTAACAGTAAATTTGCACGAAATTACTTATACCAAGATGAATGTTATGAAGAATCACCTTCAGATTTAAATAAATCGGTCAAGATAATACAAAAATTATAAATTATCAAAAAATATTTTTTTATGTGTTAGAATTCTAGCATTTATTCTGATAACCAATAAATTAATAATAGAGTACCCGGATCAAATTTCTATCCTGCCCTTAGAGATTTGACCCGATTAAAAACATAGTAATTTAACCAGATAATACTTATATAATTGTTTTTGTGTCTTATCAGCACCTTAAACATTTGTTTATTTCATTTTTAATAATTCAATATTGATAAAACATTGCTGTAGATTGCTAAAAAAATAATTCAATTAATCTTTTCATCAATAGATGAATACGTCATGGGTGTTAGAAATAAACTAGCATTTTCATAATCGATTGGCGTGCTCAAACCAGCCTCCATAATGTATTGATTTATATTTCGTAAACTCTCAATTATAATTTCCTTAAAACATATATTATTATTAAAGTTAAAATTAAAAAAATAAACTAGAATAAATAATAATAATAATAAGTTAATACCTTAAAAAACAGAAAAGTCGGCACACATCGACGTAATAAAGATATATTAATACTTGTTGTCGGTAGATTAGTTCTAGTAACTTCTCTAAAAATGTAAATTCCTTTATATGAAATCAAAAGCTCATATACGATTACTATATGATCTATAAATATTATTTAAGTATTTAAAGTTAATTACAAAGAAAAATGCATTATAGCTTAATAAATTCTCACTATAGACTTGTAGCCCATAAAGCTTTAGAAGATTTAAGTTCGTTTTTGCACCACCATATACTCGCACTATTCTATTCAACATAATTTTTAACATCTTGGCTATTTTAATTTTGTCACTAAAATAATGCGAATGTTGGTGTTCATTTGGAGGTCCACTTATTTCTGCAATGGCAAATTCTATTTTTAGAGGCTTAGTAGCCCAGACGATATCAATTTTACGACCATTACTGCGATTTTCTTTATCATCTTTTTTTAGATCAAAGTCTTCTGCAGAGGCGAACAAATTTTTCTCTCCACTAATGTTTTTTTGTTATCATTTTATATCAATATAATGATTCTTAAAAAATGAACATAGGTTATATGAAACTTTACTTGCAAGTAAATTTCCATGTTCTTAAACTCTTTTTGAAATAGATTAGTGACTAATGGTGTCAAAAACATTTCTCGATACATTCTTTCAGATAAAGCTTCATTTAATAAATCATGATCTCTTTCAAATGAATGAACTCTGTAAAGATAAAGATAAAAAACTAGTTACTTAAAGTTAAAATAACTTAGTTCTTCATGCATAGTAAACAATATTACAATAAATTTACGTAATTCCACAAAAATTCTTTTTCATCATCATTACGAGTAATGCTCAACAACCGATTTTTTAAAATCAGTACCCTATAAAGTTTGTTATTAAAAAATATTAAAGTAATAAAGTATAAAAAAAAATTATTATATACCTTTATCATATTATTATAAAAGCTTTGATTTTATTATAATCTCTTTTCTGTAATGTTGGTTCATGAGTTATAAGCTTATCATATACGTCTGGTGGCAAATAGTTTTTAACAAAATTACTATTTGTACCTGGAGTAAGATCTAATATGTCATATATGCGAGACTGTTGTAAAACTTATTAGTAAAATAAATCTTAGTGTAGCTTAAAAATTATTATTTTTTAAAAAAATATACTCGTCATGAAGTAGATTATTTTTCAATTTCCAATTCATTAATGATTTTCTAACATTAAAGTTTCCAATAATCAAATCCTCATCTGTATTTAGGCTTTCCTTTGTTAAAATTTCAAATGTGGAATCTTTTTGATTACACTGTCTTTTTATTTTATCATCATTAAATAAACATGTCTATTAAAAAAATTATATTCATATCTTTTAAAACTAAATATATTAGCTAACATAAAGATAATGAATACAATACAACTTAAATATTTGCTTTCTCATTATTTCTTTTCAATGAAGATGTTTATATTGAAAATCAGTTAACTTGTTACTAATCATTTGTACTGCGACTTCTGATCCATATAAATTTGTTTTGGCATCAAATATATTTATATTGGCCTATAAATTTACTAAAATTAGTTAATATTATTATATTAATTAATGATACAGATAATATGCATAATTTACTTTTTCATCCATTTGAACAAAAAATGCTACAATTTCTTTAAAATTAAAGTTCTTCACATTTTTATAAAATTTTGTTGCTTTATCATGGGCTTTTTTGTTTGATGACTGATTAACAGATACTGAATATAACTGCTTTTTGAATTCTATTAAAATTTCTTCTTTATTTTCAGATACTATTCCAGAGCAATTATTCTTATCTAAAAATTTAAGACAATCAAAAATGTTTCAATTTGCATAATTTACTTTATTCAGATAATCAGCAATTCCATTTGAAATGTCATGCTAAAAAAAAAATAATAATCAATATTGTTAATATTGGAAATAAAAAAATTTTATTATTAAAATTATGTATGGCAATGACATAATAGATTTTTGGAAATAAATTGTCAATCTCATGTGCTAAGCATGTCCTAGCAGGAGCATGACATTTTCTTTCCAAACATCAATCAAAGGAGGTCCACATCAATGGAACAATTCCAATGCATTGTAGAAAATCCATTAAGTCCAATATACTGGAATGAGATTGGCTAGCAAAGCATGACATTCTCTTCCAAACATCGACCGAGAGAGGTCCACATAAGTGGAACAGTTCCCACGCATCGTAGGATATTGTGAAATGCCATAGGTGAAAACAACAAAAGCACTTTCCTTTTTTTATATGCAGAAATCTCTCCCAATAAATCTTTGAAAATTAAAATATCAATGTGTTTCTGAAATTTGTTCTGCGAATTTTGGAAAAAGGGTGAGAATTTAAAATTGTACCTGGGTAAAAAAATATCGATAACGATAATCAGGAGTATTTCAAAATTTGTAATCATCCATCAAATTTGATTGGTACTTGATAGTAATATTCGTGACATTTTACAGATCTAACGTTGAAAAAAAAAATCAAGAGAACTATCGAAACATATATTTTCGGGTATATAGTTTCAGGATCCGTAGGGATCCCTGCAACTTTAAAAGATAGGTTTTCCTAAATTTAAGTTTAAAGTTTCAACTTTATTACATAATAATTTTGTAGTTAATTTAACTTCTAACCTTTTTTTACTTCTATTTAAATATTAAAATACTTCGTATATTTTTACATTATACTCTTACTTTTTACTTCGTGCTCTCTATTTTGTACTTACGGACTTGCACTTATACTCAGAAATCTTTAACTACCATAAGATTTGTATATTAATCTTGGACATGAATTTACGAAATGCCTTAATGAACCGGCAGCTAAGTTTTTTTTCTTGTTAAAATATCAGTTATTGGATAATAATTTATAGTTATTGTACGGGTCTTACATATAATTTCGTGTCAGTAAGTTAGTAAAAAAAACACGGGTTGTTACATAAGACCCGTACAATAAATCTATAATACTACGTCCGAACAGGATAAAGAGGGACGCAGCCCTCTAAAATCTGGATCAGTCGATAGAGTTTCACGATCGAATTTAAAGTACGTGAATGATCGATCGAGCCATAATAACTTTATTTATTTATACTTATCAAAGCGAACGAGTGTAAATCTTGAGGGTAAGCGGTTTAGTAATTATTTATTTACGTAAAGAGAAAATTCGATGATTTTATAATACACTTTCTAACTTTATCTTTATTTAACCTTTTCTAATCATGCAAATTAATCACGCTATTCATATGGGTAATTATTTTTGAACATGAACCGAAAGTTTTACAATAGTATATTTATTAAATATACTACTATAAACTTTCGGTCCACGTCAAAAATAATTACCCATATACTTCGATTACTAATATCTATTAATCAATTGCATTCCTGAAATCTGTGACAGGTTAGCCGATAACTTGATGTGCTATTTAGGACCGTTAGTCAATTTTATTAAGAAATTTAAATATCGATATCTATGCATATTATAACATTAATTCCAATGTTACTATCGCTACAAGTAAATAATACTGAAATATTCGAATTTCTACTGTAATATCTAATATATGCTATATAATGTTTAAGCTTTTTTTACAAAGTTTTTCATGCAGTTTAGCAAATTACTTGACCAGATTTTTTTAACCATTACATTTATACATTAGTTTGGCTGATTATTGGATATTTTAAACTTAATTTATGAACTTTTTATGTCTTTTTTTTTCGGGCTGGAATAAGTTTGAGAAGCTGTATTTTAATTTTCTTTGTGAAAGCAGGAAATTTTCCACCTTACCTGAACTCTGATCCGTGTGCTACTCTTAAGTCATCGTTCTGAGAAAATTTTTGTATAATCGTTGTAGTTCTGCCTTCCATATCTTTGGTATATTGCAAATTCAAATAATTAGGAAAGTTGTGTCGATGTTAAAGTAACTTCTACGAATTGGGATAAAAGAAAAAAAATTAAAGTTAACTATGTGTTTTAATTAGATTAAGCTGACTATAGCGATACGTAGTGCTAAAATTTTATTATTGATTTTGGAAAGAAAAATATTTAAAAAATTTCTTTTTTTTGATTAGTAATAATTTTATGCTATCCCTTAAACTGTAGACCATTTCCAGGCAAATTTGCCTGGAAAATTAACAAAAATATACTTATGATCTATAATTTTTAAATTTTAAAATATTTAAATGAAATTTTGTTTAATA